ATCTCAATATATGATACTTGAAATTTATCTGAATACAAGAGAAACAATTGGCTATCAATTTTTCACATTTAATTGTATTACATGATTTGTAAAGTTGATACTCCCGTAGCGTGTGTACTAGGTTGAGGTTAGGCCATTTCCTTATTTTAGTTCTATTACAAGTTCGGGGACTGTCTGTGTTAGTTAAGTAAATATACCCCCTGCCCATAGGTTTCAGTCCCTTCACACAACTTGATGTAAAGTAGGCGAACAAAATTAGTTGCCTCCATATTGGTACACACACTTCTTGGACGCGAAAGTTTTTTATTAGGCACCCTAACTCACACTTTTCGGAAAAGGTTGTGCACAGTCAGTCACTGACAGATAATAAAGGGGTACTGTTTTGTATGATTTGAATTATTTCGGGTCGGTATTGCCCATCCAACTTATTTCACTCTGGGTATATACTTCAATTATGAATATCATATGGAACGTTTAAATAAAACTTAAATAATTTTACTATCAGTAGAGATTAGGCGAAACTTAACTCCCAATACTTACGCAATCACTTTGTGTTAGTGGATGGTGTAGCAAGAATAAAAATACCATACTATGCAATTCAAGAGTCCTGCTGCACACTAACACAAATATATTTCCGTAATGTTTTGTCTGACCAGAATCAGACTTCCTCAGACAGCAGTTTACAAGTGTAGCGGCACTCTTGAATTGCAGCAAATAATTTTGATTGTTTTAATCTTTAACATTTATTTTCTCGTTATGAAAATGTCAACGAAACAAGAAAAAAAATATTGTTAAACTGGGAATTTACTACAAAGATGTAAGTGCACAAAGAGTGATGATTTGTGGGATGGTGCCATCGCAGGCCTATCATCTCACTGAGGCTGTAATAACATTGGTCAGACAATACGATTTTGGAAAGTTTCCAGTTTTTCATAACGTATCAGTGGCTTTTTGTACAGAGACCCTAAGCCAGGGGTCGGTAAATTACGCCCGCGGGTCGGATCCGGTCCACTTGTGTATGCTGAAATTACGATTATAGTTTTTTATGAATGTAAAATTGCGTTGAAATATCGATGAAAATCACACCACAATGACCCCGATTGTTACATTGTCATTCTTATTATTAGTCTAGCTGTTGGACCATCTTATTGAAGTAAATAAACTGTTTTTTAATTCATAGTTTGTTTTTAATATTGAGTTTGAACCTTCCGTCCAAGTAACCAAGTGTATTATCTGTAACTGGCCCACTCGGAAAGGTAATCGACAACATCCTATGAAAATATTCAGCCTCAGATTTTTAGGTAATCGTTTAGTTACTTGAACCGTTTCTCGTAATCGCGATGAGTTATTTCTCAAGTACTAAAATGTCATTAGCAAGTGTAAGCCTTGGTTAAGCAAATTAGGCATGTAGGCCATTATAATCTCCACGGAATTTCATATTTTCTATATTTTTAAAGTTAATGTCCAATTCTCGTTTAGTTCAAAATATAATCTCAACGGAATTTTATAGTTGTGTCATATTTTTAGTGTCAATGTCCAGTTCTCATTTCTTGATGTTTATGCCAAGAAAAATCTTTGTAATTATCCAGTATAATTAGATTTGATGTTCGCTATTCACAATTTCAATTTTGTTATGAAGTCAGTTTTCAAAATATCTTAACCAGTCATTTGGGTAATATCACGAAAAAAGATTTTATCATCGTTTGACATAGTTTTGGAGTCAGATAATCTCTTGTGAATACGAATGTGTTATAAAATGAATTGTAACTTGATAACTGTCGCTAACTTATCCCTTTACACAACTTGTAAAGAAAGCGAACAAAATTAGTTACTTCTATATTGGTTCTCACTTTTGGAGCGCCATATATTTTATTTTAATGTTCACCAAGGTCTCATGCAATATGCTTCATCTTGAATCATGTACATGCGCACATCCGGATAGATATTTCCTATTTATCTCGGGGAAAGGAAATCCGGTAAGACGGTTCAATAGAACTGTTAATAGGATTTCAATATTTATCTTGAAGGAAAGCAGAGCGATAACACTTTGTATGTTTATTGTGTAATTTCTGTGCGGTGAAAAATAAACATCGATTCCTGTTATAAGTTGAACCGAACCTATTTCACGTACAAGTGAATCGTCGGTGACATTCAGTACATCATAGCCGGGGGCTGAAACACGTGTTTGGTAACAAGGGAGCTTACTTATAAAACTTGAAATACATATTTACTGATGTATTTCATAAGTCATAATTTAAATTAGGTAAAAAACATTGATGTTCTTTGTGCAATTAATGGCGGGTTGAACTAGGTGAAAAAATTAACTAAGCATTGATCATAATAAATCAAACCTGGTTGAGATATATTGAGAACTGACTTCAAAACAAAATTGGAATTTTAAAGAGACTTTACGGACTGTATACTGATATACCAGGGTTCATAAGTCATACTTCAAATTAGGTGGAAAAAAAAAAATTTCAATGTGTTTTGTGCAACTAACGGCGGGTCAAATTAAATGAAAAAAATTAACTAAACATTGATCGAAATAAAACAAACCTTGTTGAGATATATTGATAACTGATTTTATAACAGAATTTCGAAATTACATCGGGACTTTATAAACACCATGTATAACATATAACTAACTGATTTGAAAAATACATAATGGTTTATGTTAACACAGAAATTTGAAATTTGGCAAAATATCTAATACAGGGGTGTAGCAACAGGCTGCGCGCGGGACACAACCAAGCCCGCCAAGCCATTTAGTGGGCTCTTGTCAACAATCACATTTTTCCCTATTTAGCATAAAATCCTAATCCGACCGCGTATGTTTAAAAAGGCGCTGACATGGGTAAAAATACATACAGATTGGTGCTCCCGAAGCATGCGAACCAAGATGGCGGACATCGGAACGTAACATTGGTAACAGGTTAGGGTTAGAAGATAATTTCTTTCCAATTTTCCTTATTTTAGTCCTATTATCAGTTCGAAGACTAGCCAAGAGCCTCCCGTAGTATTTATACCTAAAATTATGGCCTAACCCTAACCTAGTACACATATTACATTCCGATGTCCGCCATCTTGGTTCGCATACTTCGGGAACCCCACGATAGCTTCATTCTCTTCTCTTGTCGCCGCGGTGCTCTGGTTGTGCTAATTATATAATTCGTTGTGTACAGAACATGGAAAAACTAATTTTTTTTTGTGTGGCCCAGCAGGATGTCTGAAGTTGGTTATATGGCCTACCAACAAAAAAACATCTCAAAAATTATTTCAGATTTTCTCAGATTACATTAAGTTTCGACGCCATTCATTTCTCAAATATCACGTTACACCATTATTCTTCATTATCATATTTATTTTCCTATTATTACAAAATAATCATAAGACGTTAACAATAGGAAAGTCTATAATTTTGACAAACTAAGATGATCTCATGTTCATTCTTATTTCACACCTCTACTCCAAACAAGGCTTTAAAAAAGCAATCACTCACTGCATTGGGAGGGAGATATCTATCTGTTTTGACACTTGACATTTATTTCGCCAATATTGTGGGATTTTACTATGGATTTGTTTCATATTAGCTGTTATTTTTTCTGATATTGCAGTATTTTACTGTGATATTTATATTTACTCTTCTATTTTTGTATTTGCCTGTGTTTATTGATTTCTTTGTGTTATTCGATATGGACCATAACAGTATGGTACCATAAAAGAATTGGATTGAAATGGATTTCATCCTGGACGTGGTGCGGACACGGGATTTAAAGACGAAATATGTAACCCGTGGAGACAATAATTGTTGTTCAACGAGTGGGACGTTGCGTCAACCTGGCATACGTCGTACGATTTGTAATTCACTTGTTTAATTTCTCGCCAAGACCTCTTATATATCGTCGCATTCGCCTATTCATACGCTTAGTGAAGATCAAATTCAATTCCTATTTGAATATAGTCATGAATCAGGTTCGAAGGGGAACTGACGAAGTATGAGATTGTATGGGCGAGTTGCAACTCTCTATAAGTCTACAGGGAGGTATCTTAGTCAAAACTATCCTCCTTCATATTGACATGAAAGAAATTCAATTTATTTGGCTCCAGATGGTATAAGACCAGCTGTGTTAAATAGACGTTCAAAATTAATAATGAAACCCGATGGACAGAGAAGCAGCATACAACCAAAGGTAGGAAGAAAAACTCAATTTCTTATATGCAACCTATTTAAATATAGTAATGAATCAGGTTTAAAGGAAAATTTGCCAAAACGACCCGCGGGCCAAATCCAGCCTGTCAGTTAATTCAATCTGGCCCGCCTGATGCTGTCACAACTAAACTAAAACCAAATTTTGATGTTTCAGCTAAAACTAGCTCAAGGAATTTGTTGTGATTGCGATCAAATTTAGTTTTGGCACGAGGCTTATTGTTTCCCACGTTCGCCTCTGGTCCGATAACCTTGCCCACCTCTGGTTTAGAACAAATGAATATCGTTCGGGCCGGTAATAAGTTCTAGAACGGTTCATCTGTACATGTTGTGGGTCGTGACCTACATTATTTTGTCAATACGACCGGGTCAGGTACCGTAAATATATGAACGGATATTTTTCTGTTGTTTGACAATAATACAGGGTGCAATATGTCTTAACCAAGTTTGTTGTATTTCAACCAGCAATTGTTTAAGTATTTTCCCTCCATTTAATACATCTGTTAGGGCTAAAACCATATAGGATATCGATAAATTCTATTTGAATTTTAAAAAATTCAAGACTTCATGGACACTCGTGGAGCCCCTAGGTTTCTCTCAGGGAGCCACGGGGCTCCGTACGGAGCACTTTGAGAACCTATGAGCTACAATACCAACGCTTTTCAACGATCCTTTATTTTCTATAAATAAGTGTTTATGTGAAAATTTCGAAAATAAAAGTGACTATATTCCTACATTTTTACACAATTTCGATTCTATTCTTGCGTCACAAACAAAAGAAATGACGTCATACCTTCCGTCGATGGTTCGTCTCCACTTCCGGATGCTTCTTCCGCTTCGAACACAATCCTATGGATCATAGGTCCTTCAGTGGTTGATGCTATTGTGGTGCTGAGGTCTTGTGCTGATGCTTTGGTGAGGTATAAAACCGTTAAGACCAACAACGAATACATGATAGATTATTGTGTAATCTGGAAAAGAAATGGTTCTCATGATCAAACAGTGAGCGCGATGCAATAAATGGCGGTGATTTAAAGCGCGTTGGACAAACTGGATCGACATTGAAGGTTAAAGGGCGCTTCAGAGGTGTATGTAGTAATATGGAGGTAACTAATTTTGTTTGCCTACTTTACATCAAGTTGTGTAAAGGGGACTGAAACCTATGGGCAGGGGGTTTTATTCACTTCGCTAACACACACAGTCCCCGAACTCGTGATAGAACTAAAATAAAGAAAATCGAAATAAATTTATGGCCTAACCCTAACCTGATTGATACTCACACTACGGTAGTACCGCACAGTCACTGTTTATTTGTAATAAAATCGAACTCGTAATAGAACTAAAATGGGGAAAATCGGAATAAAATTATGATACCGGTTAAAGACCTCGGTTCGAATCCCACCCACCACCTTACTCAGGGTGTAATAAATCAGGCAGGAAATACCAAACATGAAAAATTCCCGTCTTTTCCAAGGTAGAAACTGCAGTTTTGAATAGAAAAACAAAAGGTCTAAAATGTTCAAATCTAGTCAAGGTATCTTACTCATGAATGACTAAAACGGACTAATTATTCAATCCGAATACCTTATGAAATACCGCTTGAGAACAAAGGTTTAAAATTAACATTCGGGATTTTTTGTACAAAGCCTCCCCCGCTATAATGCAGAAACGTGAGATTTAAGAAAACATGAAATATTATCGAATAGGAAAACATATTTTAAATTGGGATTATTTAAGTTAGAATTGTGCCAACTACATATACATTCATAGAGATTGGATTCAGAAAAATTCTTAGATATATAATTTGAGTGTAGGGGAAATATAATTTCGTTCCTACGATTAAAAATTCTGCTATTGCGCGAGAGTATCCACTTTACTTTAGTTAATAAAATCATGGAATTTTAGCCCCGGAATCCTGGTCATATTGTCCAACTTACAAATAAAGAACAGTATTATTTTACTACAATGAATCCATTATAGATTGTATATTTAAAATGTTTTTTATATTAAACTTCCTGAAGTTGATCTTGGTGCTACGGCCTCATTTTCTAGTGAATTCAAAGTATTCCCTGAACTTCCGTTTATAAAATAACAAGTTTTGCAATAAAAATTTAGTACTAAAAAGAGCATTGTAAAATGTTCTTGTTGCACAATGATTGCACAATTAAGATGTGTTTTTAAACAATCTACGGTTGTGCACGAACTGATTTTATCTCGTTCTGGTTTAAAATAGTTGAACAGCCCGTTTCAATTTAAAGTTAAAAAAAACTATTTAGAATGATTAAGTGATGATTAATCGCAATACAATCCATGGTAATTCATCGTATCTAATAATATATCTATACTTGGCAAATAAAAGCGAATCAAAATTGGTAAAAAGATCGCTGAAGCTGTGTCGTACCTCAACATTCATTTATTTATGCTGTATATATATATTGTTGCTAGACCGGTGGAAAAATAGCAAATGTCTGTAATTCGAAATATCAAATATAAATAGAACAACATGTTATTCAAACCGGGTTAAGTTAAGAATGGACGAAATTCTGCATAATACAATGTTTATTCACAATGTTAAACTATGACAACTGCTGTTACTTAACCGTTCGAATACATGGCAAATGTTGATTGAAAACTTGGAATTTAAAATCTTAAATAAATACGGAATAATCAGAACACAATTTCATTTTGGCAAATTGAGTTAAAAACTATTTTATAAATCAGACCAAGAGTGTCCGGAAAGAAATTCTTCATTTTCAATTTACTTTCTACCTTTATAATTCACAACAACAACAGTCGAATTCCTAATTTTATATTATCTCAAATAGTGAATTATTGAATGAAATACAAACATTTTGCGATTCTTTGTAATGACGATTTAGATAAATTAAATGTGCAGTTTATACAACTGCTGTTACTATATGAATGTTCAGCGAAATACCATTCTACGTTAGCGTATGCAACATTTCTGTTTTAGGGATAACCAATAATGAAGTTGTAAATACCTGAGTCCGCACATCTTAAATTTTCCTCAAACTCATTTATTAATAGGTCTGACTAGCTTATCAAGTAGCAAAAGCAGAGAGCAAATACTTACATATACTAGAGGCTGACGACTGACGCTTTCTAACAATATACTTTTTTCAAGTTGCCCTAACAAAAATTAACACCCTGTATACTTGTATTCAATGCATCCGTATCCCCAACACAAAGAAGAGAAGGAGTTAGATACACGCAGGGGTGTAAAATCGTATATTTGAATACATTCGAAATTGGTTATATTCGATTCATTTAATTCTTGATTTCAGGAATAATTTCGAATATTTTTATTTGAAATGTTTTTTTAAGATTTAAATTTTGTAAGCTTCAAGTTTTAAGATATTTTGAGGTTGCCGCTGACAAGTAGACCAAATGGTCATTTCGCGGTTATCCTGCCATTCGATACAATTATTTTGTGATCTTTCTTGTTTTCATTTTGTTATATTTTATCGGAATCGCCCATAAAAAACGATTTGGGTGATTTCAAAATCATATGATTGACGGAAGATTTACTTCTGACAGAATAAAATAGAGAACACTAACTAACACAATTATTCTGCATGAGCGAATTTGATTTCTACGAATTTACAATTGCCTTGAAGAATTTCTCTTCTGGAACAGACCATTTCAGAATTCAGATTTCATTTATTTTAGAATCATATAACTATCTAATATATAACATTATCATTGTTTTCGTTTAACTGTGTGTATTTTCACATTTCAACTGAATATTTCCAACAGTCGGACTATACAACACTCCCACAGGTCGCAGCTTGAATATGCCTAAGTCGCATGATTGCCATACAATTCTCCTCGGTAAATATGAAAGTTCTATCCTATGTTCACCATCAAGAATACCTAATCTAGTCGTGCATGGTAATAAAAACCTTCTCTGCTGCAGTCCTACTCTGATTAAATCGAAGAAGACAATGGATAATTAAATCGTTCCTTATTCTATGGGCGTCGTCTGCCTGCTGTTAAGTCACACGGGCGTTTTCATATGCGCATTATGACACCACAAACAAATATTCAGGTGTTGTTAAAATACGAGGACAATAGCCGATAAGTAGATGCACTTCCATATTTAATACATCGTAATGCGATTCAAGTACATCCATTATGCTGTAATTAAGTGATACATGACATAAAGGTTTGATTGCAAAATTAAATAAATTGGAAACAAATCGACCAAGTTTAAAGTAATGTCACAAACTCTCAACTGTAAAAAGTACATATGAAAGTTTCATTCGCTTCCTGACTCAAAATTCTACGATAGATTGGCAAAACTATGATTCTAACGCACCCAACTCCGAAAACCAATTTGTTATAATTCAGGTACAAATACTACGGAAGTCACTTGACTAGTCCCTAAACTCGTAATAGAACTAAAATAAGGAAAATTCGAATATAATTATGGCCTCGCCCTAACCTGGTACACATACTACGTCCCGGTGTCCGCCATCGTGGTTCGCATACTACAGGAGTACCAAATTTTTTGGGTAGAATATTTGAGTATTTTAGAAAAACCACGACGAAGTTTTCTTCCTAATTATCATATTCTATCGTCTTCACTTGAACTTACTTCAGCCTGTCCGTTCTATATCATTATGCTGTCATAATCAGTTACATAATTAGATTATGAAAGTGCGGGTAAGTTCAAGAGCAATTGAATCAAACTACATTATGTCATCACAAACACCATTGAAGCTTTTAGCGACCTTTATGTTTATGAGTACATAATGGGTTCAATCGTATTGCTATTTAATGTTATAAACACGTCATAATGAGATACTTATATGCACCAATGGTAAGGAGCAAGTTTTTAATGACAAAACGAACTAAATTTTAATCTAGCTTGCAAAAAATAAACAAAATAAAACGAAAAAATATTTATTCTATGACTAAATAAAAGTAAGCCATATTTAGTGCGATGTATTGTGGTTAAAGGCTGGACCTGTCCTTGTTGGCGATATAAAATCATCGGGTTTACCGAGGTAGGGATTTCATGTTTGATTCATTTATAAGCTTTTCATATATCTGCCTAAAAAAACTATAAAAAAAAAACTTTTAGGACAGTGATTACCAAACCGCGCCTGCGGTAGTGCTTGTTATTGCTCGGGTATTTCATGAGCTAACTATTAAAATTATTAATTTCATTATATAACAAACTACGATGCTTGTCGTATCTAAAATAATCTCGCAGACTATCTTAGTGCCTATTTCTCAAAGTAATATCTCCCAGACCGCGATATACCTCCGCTGGCCCACGGTCAATCAACTTTGGGAACGAACCACTGTCTTGGGCATCAGTAAGTGCTTGCAAAATTATATAAAAACTTTTCGCCTATCTATGCCCTTATAGTACAGTATACAGTGTTTTAAAACTTGAGTCTGAAGAGCAATTCAAATTTGAAAACAACTCCTACATTTACTAGCGTACGTTCACCTTTCCAGTTGTGAATAATTCATCTGCAAACTGTTTATTTTAAGAGCTTATCGTGGTCATGAAAGTTCATTGCGTTACTCATTGAAGAATTAGTATGGCAAGAAAAATATATTTAGTCAAAGAAATTTGAATATCAGATTTTTAGGATAATCGGAAAATTGTACAATAACTACATAAACGGGTGTCCGTAAAGTCCCTTTTTAATTTAAATTTTATTGTGAAATTAGTTCTCAAAATATCTTAACCAGGTTTGTTGTTTTTTAATCAGTAATTGTATTTTTACTCATTTAATACATCTGTGAGGGCCAAAACAATATATGGTATCGATAAATTCCTTTTGCAATTTAAAAAAAATTCTATGAACTCTATGAACAACCTATACATATATATACCAGTATTCATTCAAAATGAGGTCTCGGGTTTGCATTGTGCTCAGCGCTTTCGGGATAACATTTCCAATGGTTTCAAGAGCTATACCCTGCCTCATTT